AGGATACTCCTCAAAGCCGTACCCGTACGGACGTGAGCTTTGCAATAATATTGATGCTGATTAAGTTGAGTTTCATTTGAAAGAAAATGACACTTTTTTGAAATCTTTGGATATGTTTAGGTCATTTTGTACGACCTTTAAAGTAACATGTGTTATAATTTGAATTTTGAATACCTTATAAATTAATATAGAAAATAATTGTAATATATTTATTCGTAACAGATAATAATATTCAGTCCATCGCTATAATTTTTCNAATTGTAATATATTTATTCGTAACAGATAATAATATTCAGTCAATCGCTATAATTTTTCAAGCCCCTGCGGTTGTGTGGTTCTGGTGTTCGGCTGGTGGGTGTTGGTGTTGCTCTCACTGCTTTGGTTCGTGGTTCACTCCCAATCAGGCTCCTTCCTCGTCGGCTAGCTTCCTGTCTCGTTTTTTTTTTCTTTGTTTTTTTGTCTTGTTTGGTGTGTGGTATGTTCTGTTGCAATGATTGTACTGAATCTCTCTTAGGAGAGCATAGTGTAGGAGGATTCTCTCCTTGTATCCAGTTATTTGCTCCATGAAATATATGGTTATGTTCAAAAAAAAAAAAATTAATAATATTTGGACGTTGTTAATAAATCCAACGAATTAATGATAAGTAAGCAAATTAATACCTAATATTGATCACTTTTATTTCCCTCAACTGGACATTTTATATGACCCACAATTTTTATTAACTTTTTAATTATATATTTTGTCGATTTTTATTAAAAAAAATTTAAAAAATATGGTTTTTAATAAAACCAAAGGGACATGATGTATTGCCATGTTCTTGCTTCTTATCATGTTGCGTAGGCCATGACTGTTTTAGTGGGCAATTCAGCTGTTGATACGTCGCATCAAATTTCAAACTTTGAAATTTCATGTAGATTATAAATGTTTGACTTTACGTAAAAGTATATATATTATAATGGCTAATGGCTTATCACGCCAAAGGTTCATCCAAGTTGATTACGACAATTAAATTTTAAACTAAGATCACTACGCCTAAAATCTTGGAAATTGAATTATGCGGTTGAAATTTTTTTGGAATAAAATAAAGAAATGTGGCCATTTGCAAATAATTATTAGTTAATAACAGCAAATTAATTCTTAATTCCTTGTTTGGACCTTTTCTTTTTCCTTTTACCTTTTTGAAAGTCAAGGACCACCATCGTCTTTACAAAACATGAACATCGTAATTAATATTAATGTTTTTGAACGAATTTAATGAAAAGTCCATTAGAATAGCTAATTCCACAGATTTTAAATGTAATTATGATTTTTCTCTCAAATTCAAATCCGTGCAATATCCTTACGGAATATACTTCCATTTTATATCACGAGTTTTTGATGACGAACAATACCAAGGGGTCCAAAAAATCAAAATTTACAATAATCGTCGTTCCGAATTTAATGTTGTTGGCATGCTATGACTTTGGAAGAAATTTGTGACGTGCAATGAATCCGTTAAACAATTACAATGGATGTCACCACTATTTCTTCCAAAGTCGCATTTACATTAAACCAAAAAATACACTCCATGGCGGAAAACTTCGATGCAAAGAGATCAATAAGCCACTTAGCTGCCCAACTTTACAATTGTGGATGTCAAA